CATCAGAATCTGGAGTACTTCCGGAAACCGCAGAAGCTCAATCGACGGCAAGCACGATGGATCACGGAGTTGGCCGAGTTTGATTTCACCCTACGACACCGACCCGGCGCACTTAACCGCAAGGCGGATCTCCTGTCTCGACGAGCAGATCACGATCAGGGCAAGAACGACAACAAGGACGTCACGCTACTGAAGCCCGAGTTCTTCCGATCACAAGAAGTCACATTCAAGGGACAGGATCAGCAGCTAATCGACGAAATCAAGGCCATTCGATCAATTGATGGAAGCGTCAAGGCGGCCTTAGAGAAGTCACTCGTCGGATGGAAGAAGGAAGAGGGGCTTATCACGTATCATGGGAAGCTCTATGTACCAAGGGACGAGGAGTTGCGGGACAAGATCATCGGACTACACCACGACACACCCTTGGTCGGACACGCTGGGATCAACCGAACGCAGGAGATGGTGGAAAGGAACTACTGGTGGCCAAGGATGGGAAACCAAATTCGGAAATACATCCAGACGTGCGAAGCGTGCCAGCGGACCAAGACCAGAAGAGCCAGGACAGGGAGTTTGCACCCGCATGCAGTTCCAAACGCACCGTGGGAAATCATCTCCATGGATCAGATCGGACCCTTGCCGGTCAGTAACGGGTATGATGCAATTCATGTGTGGTGTGACACCTTCACCAAAATGATCCATGTCGAACCAATTAGTACTGACATCAGCAGCGAAGGAGTGGCACGATTAACCAGGGACCGAGTCTTCCGCTACCACGGGATCCCTCGCAAGATCATCACCGACAGGGATTCGCGTTACATCAAGGGCTTCATGAGGGAGACAAATCGGATGTTGGGCGTGGAAATGAACCCGGGGACCGCATATCACCCGATCACGGATGGGCAGACAGAACGCATGAATCAGGAGATCGAGCATTATCTCCGCATCTACGTCAATTACCATCAGACGGACTGGTCGGAGTGGCTGGGAATGGCGGAGTTCGCATACAATGACAAGATGAACACGTCTACCAAAATATCGCCATTCTATGCGAATCACGGATATCACCCGTGGAAGGGAGTGGAGCAACGGATGGAGTCAAGAAACAAATCGGCGGAGGAATTTGTAAAAAGAATCAAAGAAATACAAGACGAAGCAAAAGCAGCATTAGAAAAAGCAAAAGAAAAAATGAAAAAATACTACGATAAACAAAGAAAAGAAGTTCCGGAGTTGAAGGTTGGGATGGAGGTGTACATAGAAGGGGAAAATATCGAAACGGATCGACCGTCAAAGAAGATGAGCGACAAGAGATTGGGACCATACGAGATACTGGAGAAGGTTGGAGCGGCTGCATGGAAACTGGACTTGCCGGACACGGACCGAAGACATCCGGTGTTCAACGAGTCACTGTTGACACCCTATCACGAACCACCCCCCCATCGCCGAGAGAAGAGGCCTGTAGCCAAGATGATCGGAGAAGCAGAGGAGTGGGAAGTCGAAGAAATTGTGAAAGAGCGAAACGTCGGCCAAGGAAAACAGTACTTGGTCAAATGGAAGGGATGGCCGCACAGCGAGAACACCTGGGAACCATCACGTCACCTTACCCACGCAAAGAAGGTCCTAAGGGATTGGCAGAGGAAACAATCCAACCCAGACACACGCATTCGCCTCCTGCCAACTCTCGAAGCCGGACATTGGGATTATCTCATCCATCGATACAAACCCAAAGACGAGCGCCTTCCATATCCCCAGCGACAACTCTTCGATCCCTACGAGAACGTCTTTACACCCATCGGCCTAGTCGATGAGGACATCGACCCTAGAGAGGGGGTAATGTCATAATTCGACTCTTTTTCATCTTATCATTGGCGATCTTATCTTATCTTGGCACGACTTATCTTATCACGGATCACAGCATCAGACGGTCCGGGCTAGGGGTTCCAGGGGTTATCTCTATCGATTCGAGGCTGCGCGACATATGCTCCGGAGGGCTCTACTACAACCCATGACCAGTGCTCCATGCGGTACATAGCCCTATGACTCATTAGTTGTAGATATGACTCAGACTGGATTTGGGTATAAATACTGTAGCTACTTGGTTGTATTCTCCAGTCTTCGAATTCGCTTCTCTTTTCGACTTTGTTTTTGGGTTGATTGTCACAATGTCTTGGCAAATGAGTCCAACGTGGGCGCCCCAAGAAGCTGTATGGCCCTAGGCACGCCAGGTGTTGCTCACATGGTTTGGTTCACGGATCTAGCCCGTGTTGCTTTTGGTGTGTTTGGGTATGGTGCAACTCACCGTGACACTGAGAGGTGTCACTGCAACGTGTCCACAACATCCTGTGATTGAGTGGAGCATGACATGTGACAAGTTGTTGCTGTGGCATGATCAGAGGAAAAGTCCAACCCAAGGCTAGGAGTTGCTGCAACAAGATTGGTTTAATCTTGTAACGCCAAGTCCTACTAGTATATTTGTTATGTTGAGCATGTTGCGCATTGCTAGGCCCCCCAGCACAAGTTCCCATCTGCAGAGAATGACCCTTTTGAGGAGTCGCTGCAACAAAGTATCCCTTCTGAGGATTTGTTGCGGTCCAGGTGTCCGTCACTCATAGCCCTGAGCCTGGTGTAGACTCATAAGACCAATTCCACAGTAGTGGTCTGACTGCCTTGCTATCGTTGTGGTGGGAAAGAGTTCCCGTGCGAGGGTTTGAGTGTTGTGCTGGAAAGATGGGACAATGGCCTAGCTAAGAATCACCAGAAGGGTGTCTTAGTAGTGTAGCTCTGGTGGTCAGATCTGGTAGAATCCCAAGGGTAGCCTGTAACTTTTATGTCTAGAGCTCTGACGAGTAGTATGGAATATTGGTACTGCCACAGGGTAGACCTCTAATGCAACAACTTGAGTGCTGTGTGCGCTGAACCAAAAACATGCCTTGTCCGCTTGACAATGTTGTCTAATTCTGAGTCCAAGAAGTGTGTATTGTTTGGTGATTTCCAAACAAACAAAACCCAACGTGCCCTCTCTCCAGGACCGTCAGGGCTGCATATCTAAGAGTAGCTAAAGCCCATGTCAAGGCAGTATCATAAAGGTGATATGAATCCTTGCAACTAACCACTCTGAGTCCAGGCATGCATCTGACGCAATGGCTCAGCCAACCATGTGTGCAATGAGTACAGGTCTGCTGCCCAACAGCCCGGTGCTTGCCCAGAGCACCCTCTTGCACATGGCCTACGGACCTTGGACTGCCGGATGGCTTCGCCGCTCAAACCCACACCCCTGATGTACATTGCTGCGCAGGTGATTACTGTTGTTGTCCCATGTGACCCATGACCACCCGTCTTGTCCGTGACCAAGAAGTATGTGCGGCTCAAGTGATCAACGTGCTGTTTGATAGTGTAGATGCACCCAGCCCTGTTGTCTTTGTCGTTGATCACCGAGTCCTAGAAGAAAAAGAATCAGCTGAATTCATTTGAATGACGGAGTTGTCAGGGGACGCCACGCTCGTTGGGCACGTGACCATGCATGTGACCCACTGCGCCCTCTCTGCCGACCCGTGCCTGCTCACCTGTCGATCACCCAGCCTCCTCCTCCTCCTCTGATCCTCATCTCCATCCATGCCAACATCCGCCCTCTCCCTCCTTCCCCTGGCCATCTCCCTTGAATCCCTGCAAGCGGTCTAGCCAAGCCCGATTCCTTGCACCAGGGAGTGCTACTGCCGTATGCACTCCTCCCCCTTCACTTCGGCCTTCTCCCCGCGGATGTGGTCTACTGCCGTACAGGCTCGTACCAGATGCCCTTGCGCTCATCCGCACCACCCCTCTTCCCAGTTGGGCATTGGTCCTCGCCTCCGATGTCTCCACTGGCTGGCCCGGCACTGGCCTGGCCACTGGGCTCCTCCAGTGTGGCCTTCCACTGTTGGTGTCTCAGGAGCTGGCCATCACTGGCCCCTCTGAGCCACTCACTATCTTATCTGGGTTTGTCATTATCTACTTGTCATCTGCCATTGTTCCATGGCAGTGATATCCCATCATCATCAGTCACTTGTCACAGCTGACTATATAGTGTGACACCTGGGCACATGGATCCTTGAACCGTTCTCTAAGGATCCCCCTCTGTGCTCAGGTGAGTAGTATACCTCCCTTGTATTTGATAGTCTCTAAGGATCCCCCTCTGTGCTCAGACTCATGTGAGGTTGTTGTGTGCTGTGTGCTCTCTTCCTTCGGGCTCGCAGGAGTTGCCCTTACAGGAGTGAGAAGAAACAGAAAATCAATATACAACCCGGAAGCATGTAAGGCAGGAGCAAAGGGATGTTGTGATGATTGGCTGTGTTATTGTGCGTAGCCACTGATGATTCCATCATCCCAAGTTCCCCTTCTTGACTCGTGTGCCCTACCACATTGTTGACACCATCCACAGTTGTTGACTGGGCAGCAGACCCTTAAATCCTACTGAGCGCAACACTGGCAACCACGACACAATACACCAAATAGTTCAAGAGTAAACTCTGTAAAAGCGCAAAAGTACACCCTTATAGAGCTGGTGCAGAGCGCGTCTGGTAGCCAGCCTATCAATGGCAGTAGACCACATCCATGAAAAGAAGGCTGAAGTAGAGGGGGAGGAGTGCGTATGGCAGTAGCACCCCCTGGTGCAAGGAATTGGGCTTGGCTAGACTGCTTGCGGGGATTTGAAGGAGATGGCTGGGAGAAGGAGTAAGAGGGCGGACATTGGCACGGACGGAGATGAGGATCAGAGGAGGAGGAGGAGGCCAGGTGATCAGCAGGTGAGCAGGCACAGGTCGGCAGAGAGGGTGCAGTGGATCATGTTCATGGTCACGTGCCCAAGGAGTGCAGTGTCCCCTAACAGAGTCAGTGTATGTGCATGGTTGCATACCCAAAGAGCATGGTGTCCCCTGACACGAGCATTGGATGATCCAATAACAATATTATATATATGAGGTCCCTGTGAAACAGAACCAAAAAGTAATCTCAAAGTACTACAGATGATCTCATGTTTATGCACTGTGTTATTCACCAATACAAAACCACTTCAACATTATATTGTTGCTGGGACTCTGCTGTCTTGTGTCTGCAACAAATCATGATTGGTTGGGGATATCTCCATCTCATCCTGGTATTTTCTTGCTTCTTGAGAATACCTTGGCACAACGCTGCTCCGATTCCAGTTTGATGATTGCTGTACTACATAGGATTGTACCAGCTTTTCACTCCAAATTTCAACTTCACCCTGGGTCTCACCTCTTTTGTCCTCCTGTACCCAGAAACATATTGTCAGAGTGGCAGCCAGATAAGTCAAGATGCAATTGCTTAACGATGGATTCTGTCAAAGAATCAAGCATAGAACACAAAAAAATCCGGTAAAAGCCAACGTATTATCATCTTAGCTCAATGGCAAGCGAAAGTTGAAATTTGTGTAGAGAGAAAGACACGGACGATTTTCAAATGGTTCCAAATACAGCTTAGCATATCTAGCTAGCGCACTCAATCATCATACTAGAAAGACAGCAATCAGAGTGGTCCACTTCTTGGAAGCAGATAACTCACCACGAGGAACATGGATCCGGGCCAGGGGCTCGTTCCCCCCCACGGCGTCAAATACACGTTCGTCTCCGTCTCATTGATGACCTGCGTGAAACCAGCCAGCTTGCCCGGATCGCCCGCGGCGCGGCGGACATTCTTCAGCTTGAATATGACGCGAACGATCTCCGCGATCGTCTGCTCGGCGTACGTCACACCGGGGCACGCGTGGAAGCCGGCGCCGTTCAGGGAATACGCCGAGCTGGGGCGCGTCGGGTCGACGGACGTGGGGTTCGGGAAGTCGTCCGGCTGTGGCACGATGAGCTGTGAGACTGAGCAAGGGGGGGGAGCGGACGCACGTTCAGGTTGGCGTTCCGGAAACTGGCCCAGATGCGGTCGCCCGCTTTGAGGCTCATGGGGGGCAGCCCGGAGCCCTGCGGGATCTCAGCGTCGACGACCGAGGTACGCCAGAGACCGGTGTACTGCGGGTTTAGACCTGCGACGAGTGAGAAGAGAAGAGAAGCCGTGACAGTTGGGAGAATGAGACGCACGCATCGCTTCCGCGACATATCCTCTCAGTAGTGTGGTCGAGGCCGGGTCATCGCTCTGCGCAAGCTGCAAGATCTTCGCGCGCTCAGCCGCATGCGCGTCGTCCAGATAGAAGTCGATGACGTGCACGGCCGCTGTCGCGCAGGTGAGCATGTCACGCCAGGCACCGCCGCAGCCCACTCACCCTGCGCATAGTTCACGGAAGATCCGATCGCGAGCCCCACGACCATCGCCACGAGCTCATTCATCGGCTTGCCCGTGTCCGAGAGCTTGCTGAGGAACGGGTAGCACGGCTTGTCCTGCTGGGGCCACAGGAACTTGGAGACGTTCGCAACAAAGCCGACAAGCGCGTTGGGTGCGCTACCCGGAGCGATTTCGAGCACGCTCTTGGCGATTAGCGCTTGGAGCACTCCGCCCGACTGGATCGCAGCGTGCCTAAGCGAGAAGCCGTGCTCGTTGTCCCCGATGCTCAGGAAAGTGAGCTGGAACTGGAGGAGAGGGGGAGACAGGTAAGCGCTGGATTCTCGACCGTCTAGGCTAAGACTTACTAGCAGAGCGAACATGTCGTACACCTCCTGTTCTGTGTAAAGCCCCCTCGGGTTCTGCGGCGTCTTCAAGGGAAGACCGCACTGGCAGAAGAGAACACTCAGAGAGGATAACTGGAGAAGCAACGCCACTCACCATGCGGTCAGCAGCCCAATGCACCGACGTGGAGTTGATAACCTGTTTCACGATGTCGACGTAGTTGCCGGCAACGCCGTCGTACTTCCACGAGCGTTGCTTGATGAACTGCGTCGTCATGTCGCGGTACCACACACGGTAGCCGCTCAGCGCCGATTCGGTCGGGAAGATCGCGTGCAGGGCCAGAGCCAGATCGGGGTCGTGTCTGGTAGTCAAATCAGCATCACAGCATCACAGACAGCACAGACAGCACAGCCGCTCACTTTTGTGGGGTGTCGAACGCTAACAGGAAACCGTAGCCGTTCCCGAGAGGGCTCATCTCGTACACCGTCTTGAAGCGCGCGGGGTCGCTGAACACGGTTTTGATCCCGGTGAAGGTGTTGAGCACTTTTACGACAGGCGTTGCGACGGGGCGGGTGAAGGTGTACTGCCCGGCGAGACCTTGCTTGGTGAGGCTGTTCTGCATCTTTTGCGGCGTAAAGAAGGGGAAGCAGCCGTAGGTGGAGTTCTGAACGAAGTGAGAACTTGACCAGTAGGTGGCTAAAGGTCGCTTACGTAGGGGTAATGGCGAGGCAAGTGTCGCATGAGAAGTTTGGGCACTGGGGATACATGAGACTCCAAACGAGAGAGATCGGATGGTCTTACTCTCTCCCCCCTGCAGTGGAGTGGTTAGCAAGGTCGCGTGAGACAGACAGAAGACTCACGCAGCCGCCGTTGTTAGGATCGCGTACACAGTCTTGGAATCCCCATGTTGTCAAATTCGCCGCTGTGAGAGTGGATGAGCGATCTGGAAAGTGTTTGAGAAGTCGACTTGCGCGTGAAGTCGGTGGTGTTGAAGCGGTCGCCGCGAACGAGCGCAATCGCGTCGCCTAGCACGGCCCGGGTCATCTGCACAAGCTCGTGAGTCATGTGAATATTGTCGAGTGCAGCGAACGAACCGTATACCCAGCTGCGAACCGGAGCCCTGAAGACAAAGGCATCGTATCCTCGCACTGCAAACCAGTATACAACTCCAGATTGTCGATATGGCCATACAGCCTCCGGGCCGCAGACTACGTTGTGGTCAATGTGGAACCAAAGTCGCCTCCTCAGGAGTGGGCAAGCACGCACGCTGATCTCGGGGTCGCTGTTCCACTCCTCGAAGCTCGCAAACTGCTTCAGGCCCAGGAACTCGCGGAACTCGTTCATCGTGCAGACGCCCCACTGCCGCGCTTGCTGGATGCCGAGAATCTCGATGACGCGAAGACACTCGGGTGTGCCGCGCGCGCGGTATGCGCCGGCAGGCGACTCGGTGGCATCGAGCAGGATGCGTGCGATGTCGTCGTCGGAGAATTTGCCATCAGCCCCACGTGAGATGCTGTAAGATCACATCAGCTTCTGATAAGATAAGATGGGAGATTAACTGGCGCTTACCCGCCGAACTCTCGCTTGCTCGGATCAGGGTTGATGGTCGCGAACGTCTTGCCGAACACGGCGCCAAAGTCCTGCATGCTGATCTGATCGAACGGCTTGTTGTTGAACGCACGATTGAAGACGTCGGCCGTCCACTTCTCGTCAGCGGCAGAGAGCGTCGGGTGCCACCGGTACAGGACGTTGAATTCTACGCTGACGTGGTTGCCCTGTCCGCGCTCGAGCGGTGTGCCTTTGACGGTGATCGGGTCGAACGGGTCGAGCGACCAGGCGTTGCCTTCGGACATGCCGAGGAAACCGGCAACGTAGTCCGACATAATCAGGCCCATGAAGTGGCCACAGCTGATGATTATCCTTGAGTAACATATATTCAAGGGTGAAATCGTAGACTGACTTGACGAGACGGGCAGTCTGGAAGATTTCCTCGTCCTGCTTCGCGAGAGCAGCGGGATCAGAGGGGGGCGGATCAGTCCAGCGGCCTCGTTCGTTGATTTTCAGCAGCATGTCCGCCACATACTAGAATGACATCAATTAGCAAGCGTTGATAGGTCAATCCGGATGACCCTCACATTGTGATTTCGGCTGAGGATGACCAAGATCGCACTCGCCGCAGGGGGAAGGAAGATAAGCCGCTCTTCAGAAAATGTGTCCGGATACAGAAGACCGCGGCCTTGGGCTTTATCTCGAACGGCATCCTGAGTTTCCTGATCTGAAAATCCGGGTGAGCTATCATTTCCCTCGCTTATGACCATCGAACGCACTGATTCCATAGAGCGGACTCAAGTCGAGGTAGGAAGATGTGTCGTTGACGTTCCAGTCCCTCAAGTTCGTCCGGAACAGCGAATGGATGACGATCGTCGCAAATGCAAACGTAAAGCTCGAGTTCCCACCCGTGTGATCGACGCGCTGAACGAAACAGTCAGCAAACCGACAAGCAGTGCAGAGATCCAGCTCTGTCACCCACATCGCGGGCCTTCAGCAGCGTGTCAAATATGATGCCCGGATCCGGCAGCGACGTCGGGGCATTGCACCACTTGCCCTGCACACTGCGTGCGTAGGGTTGGCCAGCTTGGCCGAGCTGCGGAATCTGCAGGTTATTTCCGCCTCCGTCCGCGGTGCGGAAGGAGTGCACTGGACCGAGGAGTGCGGCCGGAGGCTGAGAAGAGCTCAACATCGCGCGTTGACGGCCGGAATGTTGAACAACAACTCACGTGAGGGATGGTATTGAACAACATAGCGATCGCGCTGTCGGACATCTCTTTGGCCACGTCAGACGTCGGCGGCAGTCGGGACAGGAGGCTCAGGCCATCGCCAAGCTACAGGCGTGTGAGAAACAATGTCAGGGAAGAGAAAGGAAGTAGGGGGACTTACAGCGCCCTTCCTGTCATCAATCGCGTGTGGGTGAAGCGCCTGGTCGAGGAAGGCACCCTGGTCGAACCATAAGCTCTCGTGCCACCATTCGGGGTATTGAGGCACGTACGACGACTTTGGGGTCCATTTCGAGGGCGCCCTTCGCTTTAACCTTCTCGATCTTTGGAGAGCTGTGAGCATCAATTTCTGATAGCGGACCACCACGCACAGCGTTGATGACGTTGGTCACCCCAGCATGACCAGAGGGACTGTTGCTGGCATCTGCCTGGTCTTCCCAGTCGTACTCGCCGTCAGGTGCGATAGGCAGGGCTCGCTTGGCCAAGAATTCCGCATCTGCGCCAAGCTGGAAGACTTGCAGCGGAGTGATGCTCGGTGCAGGAGCAGGTTTAGCAGCCGTCGGGGTGGCCATGGCGAGCACCAATACTGTCAGGGAAAGGTGGATGGACTAGTCTGGCTGGGAAGCCTTACTTAAATATACTCACATGCAGATGGGTACGAATTAGGGCTGCCTGATCTGGACACGGAAATCAAGCTCTGTGTGGTAACGATACACATAATTCGCCTGCTTTGCGCCGCTGTACGACACCTTTTCTCCTCCGTGGACGACTAGAGTGATCCAGGTACGGGACGTGAAGCATGGGAGCGTCAGTTCGAAGCGGCATGAAGTGACAGGGTCTATTCAAGCACATACCCATAGTTATCCGGGGCCGATTCGGGTCTCGCTCAAAATTGGGGTCTATACGCGTCTCAATTGCCGAGTCCCACTAGGCCGCAACCCGACTGCGAGTTGGAGCCTTCGCCCTCCCGTATTCTGCATCCGAGGCAGTAGACCACGAACGGGTGCATATCGATCACTGGCGGGCCGGCCTCGGCCGGCCAGACTCACAAACTGATTCTGTGATCATTCATCCTGTCTAACCGAGCACCCCATTTCATTCGCTTGTTATTCAAGATTGGCAGAAATTCCGTGCGTTCTCCTTGTCTCGATCTCTGAGAGGTGAAAGGATGCTGATAGTTTGCCTCAATTAACGAGGGGATCCGGGAAGTGTGGATTCCGGGGGGGCCATAACGCCTGTGGCGCTCAGAGATGGGAGCTAGGAGCAGCTAAACTTCTAGTGACATGTGACCGATCCCACGTCAATCACGACTCCTTCCGTCACACGTCTTCTTGCATGTGTTTGTAATGGTCCTCGCAATCCATCTCTTGTCCATCTCACATGCATATTCCCATCCGTGTCTTTCCGCCCACCTTCGTGCCCCCCGTCACCGCATTTACTCCGCCCGTTCTCGGCTCCTAGGTCGCTTCCACGTCCCAGTCGGCATCTTGCACATGATCTGCGCAGACTGAAATAGCCTAGCGTGTATTGGGTGCTGAGTGTACGTACGATTGATCGAGGGCTGGCGTCGACTTACAAAGTGGACAAGTCTTCTCATCTACGCCCAGGATACCCTCCCCCCCTCCCCTTGCCTGTCTTGTTCAGCTACGACGATGGCGCACACGCGGTCCGAAACCGACGCGACAGCCATCAACAGTCCTCCGGCCACGCTGCGCTCTCCGCCGCCTAACCTCCCCACGATGTCTGGTCTCCAACAGACAACCTCGTCCCCACTGAATTCTCCGACATCGACCATGCCGATCAATACCAACCCACCCTTGCCCGGAGTGATACCCCCAGAGCATCCGTACCGCACACTGGTTCTCTGCTTCGATGGTACGCGTTTTGTTTCGGCATCTGCTAACGGGCACCCGATCTGACCTCCGCACCTCAGGCACCGGGGACCAGTTCGATGCTGACAACTCGAACATCATCCAGTTCTTCACGCTGCTGCCCAAGGCTGACAGGACGCGGCAGATGGTTTACTATCAGTGCGTCCAGACGCCCTTAGCCCCCTCCTTCTGACACACGCGCCAGAGCCGGCATCGGCACCTACACCACGCCCCAAATCGCGACACCCATGATGTCGAAGTTCTCAAAGGTGCGTTGATTCATTTCCTTTGCTTCTCGCCCTCATTCACCCTGGTGACTACAGATCCTTGATGAGATGATTGCCTGGAACCTCGACGCACACGTGATGGGCGGATACGAGTTCCTCATGCAAAACTGTGCGCGCACCTAATCTTCTCATCCGCGGGTCACCACTGACAAGAAGCAGACACCGCCAACGACCGGATCTGCATCTTTGGGTTCTCCCGCGGTGCCTATACTGCCCGCAGTCTCGCCGGGATGCTGCATAAGGTCGGTCTGCTCCCGGCATGCAACCACCAACAGATACCCTTTGCGTACAAGATGTTCACGCGTGCAGATGAGATCGGCTGGAAGCAGTCGAATCTGTTCAAGAAGGCATTTTCGATTGACGTAGATATCGAGTTCATCGGGGTGTGGGATACGGTGAACTCGGTGGGACTGATTCCGAAACGGTGGGTAGTGTGATATGAGTGTTACGTACGACCCGCTGATTGACTCCCAGCCTGCCGTTCACGACTTCGAACACGATCGTGCGCACGTTCCGGCACGCTCTGTCGCTCGACGAGCGGCGCGCCAAGTTTAAGGCTAATCTTTGGAACCGGCCGAACGACACAGAGGCTGCGTTGAGCATCACCGACCAGCAAGTGAACGATCCAGTCCCTGGCGATGCGAAGCAGCCCACGGTGAATGGCAATGGAAGCCACGCGCATCACACGAACTCGAAGAAACCTACGAACCGCCAGATGGAGCTCCGCTACTCCAGGGATCGAAATCAGCCGACGGATGTGCAAGAGGTACACGTTTCCGTGTCCCTCGCCCCGCCAGCTATCTGACCCACAGCAGGTCTGGTTCTCGGGGTGCCACTGCGATGTCGGAGGCGGCTCCGTGTCCAACGATACGCGGCACAGTCTCGCGCGCATTCCCCTTCGCTGGATGATCCGCGAGTGCTTCCGCACGAACAGCGGGATCATGTTCGACGTCGAAGGCCTGCGCCAGCTGGGCCTGGACCCGGACGGGCTGTACCCCTACGTCAAACCGCGCCCGCCGGCGCTGAGCGGGGCGGACCTGCGCATCCGCGCCATCGAGCCCACTGGGGCCCCCAGTGCACACTTGGAGAACTATGCCACCGGCGAGTCGTCCCTGGGGCCCAAGGTGCTGAGCGAGGAGGAGGAAGACCTGCAGGACGCGCTGTCGCCGGTGTACGACCAGCTGTCTCTCGCGCGATTCTGGTGGGCGCTCGAGTTCCTGCCGATCAAGCAGCGGTACCAGCGGGGAAATAACACGTGGGCTTCCGAGCTGGGCATGAACTTCGGCCGCGGGAGATTCATCCCGAAGCAGAAGGCGCATGGTGTCAAGGTGCACCGGAGTGTCAAGACGAGACTGGAGGCGACGATGAGTGACGGCAAGACGAAGTACGTGTCCAAGGCCAAGTTTGATCTTGACCGGACGACGTGGATGGACTGAATGGCCGTTTGCCTGTTATATTCCTACCCAGTGTTTTCTTTTTGTATGTAATCGCCGTACATTCTGTGTTATTTCAAACGTGACGAAACATCCACCAACTCCCTCATGAAAGAACGGACCACGATATGGTAAAATTGCATTCTGCCACCCTGAGACACCCCCACATGGTTCCTGAACAGAAAGATTTTATGTGGCCCTGAGTAACTTATTGGGATGAGGGTCCACAAAGCTTAGCCAATCGGGGGTTGAATTCATACAGCAAATGCATCGCCGATGAGTTCAAATAAATGACGAGAAAAGTCCTAATGTTGCAGGTAAGGAGCTGCTTTCATGATCGCCACAAGTACAATACAGTCAGTCTAGGTCTACACAATTGGCACCAAGAAATTGTGGATGTCTAGCACAGTCACACCGAGTCCGAACATCCCTCAAGTGGGATGGATATTGCTCGAGGCAGAAGCTGCCTCCATCGCGGTCCCATCCTCCGAGCCCTCTTCCGCTACAGGCTGCAGACCAATCACGGGCCCGCCATCCGTGCCTATCCCATCTGATTCGATATCAACTGTGGGCTGGAGGACCCCGCCGCCGACCAGAGCGTCCGCGACCCAGCGCATGCCGTCACGGCTCATGAGTCCGCGCCACGGCCCGCACAGTCCGACCTCGTCTGCATCCCAGTCCTGCTCGGGCAGGTCATGCCAGCGCATCACCGTCCGATGCACGGGTGTATACGCACTGATCCAGAGTGCGGGATCGGCGACGTCGAGGGTCGGGTCGTGGTAGTGTTCGTCGCCTGCGTCTTCTTGGATGCACACAGCGACGCCGAGCGCAAACGCGTCGAGCGCAAAAGTCTTTGGAGCTGAGATAAGCACACAACCGCCGCTGTGGTCTTTGAGGAAGGCGCGCCCAGCAAGCAATTGTGACGGAGCAAGGGTGGGGATGCCATCGTCATCCAGTGTGGGGAGTGGGAGACGGAATACCATCAGCTTCTCCGATACACCGTCGTCATTTGTGCAGGAAGAGATGGAGGGCGACGAAGATGAAGACGATGGTAGAGGCGGAGGTGAACGGAGGGGTGACGTCGGCGGCGTCGAAAATCCAGAAGACAAGGATGACGCAGAGGATGACGGTGATCGTCCCGAACGAGAGTCAATGGCCGATAACGACGACGAAGACCCCGATGCAGACGGGGATTCGCCATCCTTAGCGTCTGCACTATAGCATATACGCACCACTGCGTCAAACGATTCCATCTGTACCGCCATCTCTTTCTCTCTCTCCCCATCGCTTTCACGACGCTCCCATGTGTGCTCGAGCAGCGTCAAGAACACACCAGACCGCCCAAGTTGCTGCAGTCTCTCAGCGGAGCCCCCTTCGCTCTTCACCTTGCCGTGCTTCTTCCTCGCTATGTGCGATCCGGCGCACAACGGCACCGCAGGCGCGGGGTGCCAGCCCTCGCGCGTGAGTGCGTATGATATGCGGTGCAGACTCGGCAGCTGGATGCCTGACATTTGGAGCGGTGCGGGTAGAGGGATGGAAGCCACTGCAGCCGTGGGCAGCGTGGGTATCCCAGCAGCAGCCGCACGGGGGCCTCGTGTCGAGTCGGATTTGAATTTGGATTTCGACGTGGATGAGGATGTCGAGGACGACGATGCGCTCGACACGGATTGAGCCCGCGGTGGTAGGGGAACCCGCGCCGGCCGGCGTGGGAGGTTCGATACATGCGGTTGTAGAGGGCCCTTTGGGGCTAGTCCGCGGGCAAGTCGGATCGGCGGGGAGGGGGGTGTCAGGAGTGGGCTGGCAGATGCGCAGGAGGATTGAGGCCGCGTGGAAATCGACATCGCTGCGCCTTTGTCTACTGGAAGAGAGGAAGATGGTGGAGGGAGGGGAAACGATAACCCTACACGCGAAGAAAAAATTGATGGGCAAGATGATTGGTAACACACTTGGGGAGACACCACGCCTGAACCCGTCCCGTCGAGCACGTTCACCGCCTGTCGAGGTACACCTTGTGAGGCGAGGCCTTTGAGGTGATGAATGAGCGATATTAGCGAGCCCCGCAAAAAGGTTGATCTTTCCATCGCTCCCCGCTCGTCTCCGCACTGCAGCATGCGGCTGTCGACTCTCCTCACGAGTACGTCATGTAAGTGACATAGTGGTAGGTCACTCGTCGCAATACCGGACGGCTCCACAACGATCCGGAAGCGGCTATCCACCGTTCGACATATTCCTCCAGCTCAGTAGGAGAGGGTTGCTCAATGCTGCAGTGCTTGACCTCGAGCAAGGTCCGAAGCACGTGAATCTCAGGCTGCGCTTGTTTGACAGATAGCGGTGCAGACGAACTCAAGGTTCAGATGAGATTACGATTGGGTAAATAAGTCAACTTCATGGACTTTTCTGGAACAAGTCCGGAACAACAGAAGAGAACAACAGTTGTGGACTGATCATTGTGGAGAGCATTGTACCTGAAGACAGCATTATCGCAGAAAACAAGATGTTCCTGCTCTGAAGTCACTACTTGTAACAAGAGAATAAGGAGGTATCGTAGCGGGATTAAGTCGCTGACCTTGATCGTTCTGGCCATAGCCTTCTTGGTCTAGTAGTATGATACTCCCTTCGGGTAATTCCGTCTCAGAATGAGATCAATATGGGAGTGGTCCTGGGTTCAATTCCCGGAGAGGGCCTTTTTTTGACTCTTAATGGATTGGATGCTCGCCTCCTCGCTTTTCTAATATATCGAATGTTCAGGTTCCTTCAGCTTTCATGTGCCTAAAGCTTCTTCGTTACTATTTTTCGCATTCACATTGTGCTGATTATCTCCTAGTCTTTGGTCAGAGTCTGTCACTCTCTCAACCTCCACAATTTTACTCACATTTGTGAAAGAATGTTGATCCCCCTGCGGGTCCCACCGTCTACGTCAGGATGTCGTAAATTTACCCACCCCGCACGTTCTCGTTCCCCTGAAAAACTGGATTGATGTGCCATTGATTGAAATCTACAACGGCCATCCCACGCGTTCTCGTCCGAGAGTCTTGCCTGCAGGGCACGGATCATGGTCTGCGACATCGGCTTGGCAAGAACATCGAGCATTTGAATTTCCTTTCAATCGCCGTTCCTGCCCATTCACTCACGCAAATCAGACCCAATCGCCGATGTGATTTTGCAGCCTCGCGCTTTGTGTCCCACGTCAACCACGCAGTAGCGCGGTCTGGTTTCCCCCTTTGAGAACAAGGGCAGTTCATGATGTTCATCTAAATTCAATGAAATATCAGTTGCAAACGCACAGAGAGCTCTGTATATGTGCTCTGAGAGTTGCGACACTGGGATTCTCAGAGGCGTGCGCTGGTCTCCTATCTGAATCAGGGATCAGAATGTTCTTTGGTCTCTCACAGCAGATTTTTATTTGCATAGCCTGAATCAGTGCAGAGCCCTGACTCGGCTCGAGTTGCCGAACAAAATGTCGAATACATTCGTACGTTTGACCAGACTTGCCAAAATAGTCATCATATACATCCTCACATACGTGAAGAAAGCGCCATCTGCAAAACTGTTGTATCCGCCGTGGCTATTGATGATCCATTAGACTCCTTCTGTTTGACTCACATGCCCAAGCAAACGATTCGGGAAACAATATCCATCGCCTCCAGTGCCTGACAGATGACACGAAGGTGGAACGTGATCCCCTCAATCTACAGTCGCATGCTACAGTTCATCGGCTCGCGGATTCCTTGTTTCGGATGCCCTCCGACCTATCTGCGACAGGGCTGCAAAGTCAGACAATTGATGGTTAATTCTCGACCACAGCGGGCGGCGTTCTTGATGAAGGAAATGGTGTTGATATTGACGGAGTACGTGACATTGGTCAAGAACCCATTCACAACTCACAATGTCGAACAAAACATAACAATACCACTCAGAACACGGCTGTTTGGTCTCCTTTTTGGGGGACACCTGCCCACCGCATGCGAGTGCGGCGTTTATCGATGTCCGTCCCGACCATTTCGCAAGAGACTAGGTCCCGAGATGATGGGGGTATTCGAACGGACGCGCTTCGTCCCATTTGAGCACAAGAATCCCCGCCTCGAGGCATCGGGCACGTACCGATCACCCGCTCATCGCACCCAATCTGACATTTCGGACCCACCGGCGCCCACAATATGACCCCGCGCACCAATAGAAATCACTGCACGAGGCGCCTAAGCGCCGATCACATCAACATGAGGCGCCGAAGCCGCGAAAGCGGAGAAAAGATTCCTTTTGGGGACGCGTCACGGAGCCCTAAATCAGGCTTGGCCGCCTACGGGGATGCCCGAGGCTCTTTCCTCCCTCATCACCACGACTTTCTTGCGTGGACGTATAAAGGGCGGTGAGGAGATTGCGGGGAGTCGATAACGTGGGAGACCAGAAAAACGGAGGATCGGAAACCTCAGGTGCGGCGCTTGACCCTAGATGCTGCTGGGGCTGCACCGCTCATCGATGTCCGTATTACAGCCGGATGTCGTTTACAGAGAGTGTCGCTATCGCGCTGTACGACTGGCACTCCACTAGAGAAAAGCCTGTCCCTCCCTTTGTCTCCGCGACGATGGCGCCTTCAGGACCCCCACCAGCAAAACGGGCCCGGACGTGCGCTCACGGCTCGCTGACCCTTCGCGGGGGGAGCGCTATCGACAAGCTCCCCAACGAGGTCCTCTCCTCCGTCTTTGTCTTCGCGACTCACGCCCACGCCCATCATGACACCTACGACAACGACACCTACGATGACCATCCTGATGAGACTGACGACGACTCTCAGACGCCGACACATGACGCGACGACCTCGACACTAACACCAACGGCTTCTGCTCCCACTACCCTCTCCCACGTCTGTCATCGATGGAGGCTGGTGGCGCTTTCCACAGGCTCACTATGGACGAAGCTGGAGCTTACGTTCCCCACGTCACCAGCGCAGATCACACGCACTATGACCTGGATCCAGCGTTCGCGACATCACCCGCTTGACATCACGCTCGACCTACGGGACGAGGACTGGGACTTTGAGAGCGAGGAGAGGCACGGATTCAGCGCGGCCGACATGGTGTCGGTGCTGCGGCTGCTGTCTCCCGTGATGCGGCGCTGGAGGAGAGTGGAGGTATTGACGGACACCTGGGCGCCTATGTTCACGTTCCTGACGTATACCCACGGGATGGGCGCCTCTCTTCTCAGGTTGGAGTCTCTGCACCTTGCGAGGTGTAACGAGTACTTTGCCCGCAAGGGCGAGGTGTTCGAGCCTGCTGCACTAGGGGAACATGTGGCCCTCTTTGACGCCGGCGGGATACTTCCAAAGCTGAGGGAGGTACAGCTGACCGGCGTCCACATCAACTGGTCTCACCACCCGTTCCTCAATCTCACGAAACTCGACTTCAAGTACCAGGCCGCCGATGTCATGCCGACGATCGCACAGTTCGCGTCGATCCTCGCCACCAGTCCCGCGCTCGAAACGCTCTCTATTGTCGGCCACGCCCCGCAGCTGCTGGACACGGACACTGAGATAATCAAGCTCGCCCATTTGCGGAACTTCACGTTCGGCTTCGTCGACGTGTCGCACGCCATCCGGTTTCTTTCCTTACTGGATATTCCCTCCCTGCGGAGCTTTAGCCTCGAGGACGTGTCGAGCTCCTTGCGGGAACAGACAGCCGGGAGTGCGGCTACGCTGTTACAGTGGCTGGCCGGCAGCTGCGAGTTCGCTCCAAGCCATCTGGATTCTGCTCCCGGCAGCATTTCGCGGACCCGAATCCCGCTCTCGCAGGTCAAGACCCTCACGCTCCATTCTCTCGATGCTTCGCCGGTGGCGTTTTCACGCTTCTTTGCGGCATGCCGCACAACGGCCCGGTTACGCATTTGGGATGTCTCGGGCGATGTGCTGGATGTGCTGCGACAGGACGCTGATGTGGTTCTTCTGCCCGATCTCCAGACTCTCATGGCTCGAGGAGTGGATTCTGACTCGTTCGATCGTGTGGTCGACGAGCGCGGGATCTCGCTCTCCCGTGCCCGTCTTGAATGTGCGCGTCCGGACAGATTCTCCCATGATGATGACTCGGACTATCATGGGGGAAGCCCGAGTCAGAGCCAATCATGCTGAGCTTCGATTCCGAGCTGCTTCGGACAAAGAGATGTCGACTGTCTCTCGCTTGGCAAGTGGCTGCCTTGTCCCCATCGCTGTGCTTTGTTCCTCGTTTGCTTCCCTCCATGCTTTGTCCTGCTTTATTCTGTACATCATGCATTCCACTCTCCTTCCTTCTGTCCATAGTCATCACCGCATATCAAACGATCACATCCCGCATTGTCATGATCACTCGCATATGCATCTCCAGTCTGTATAAATTGCACAATCTGTTCACATCCGCCGTCTTTCCCCGATCAACATCGCACATGTCTAAAATGACATCTGTGATGGATTCGGACACTGCGCCACATTCCTCCGATGATTCATCTGCCCACAGCTCTGGGATTCATGTCGAGTGGTCGCGGTTCATGGTTCGAACGATAAAAAATATTCTTCTTTCGGAGGAGACAAAATCATCCCAGATGCCGAAAAAGATGGACGAGATCCTTCATCCCGTGACTGCATCAATGTCCTCCACACAAATTCCCCCCGATTGCATGTCTAATTCGCGACATCGCCGCGAACCGGAGTGCAGCTCGCTTTCGAAGGACAGGATTTGACGTTCCGACAATTGTGGCGAGTGAAGCCTGGTCATTCCCAGGGGAAGGATCGAAACTCGGAAATCAATAGCAACAGCGAAACGTCCGCTGTTTTCTCCAAGACTAAACAGGCATGGGTATTCGACACTTGTGTTTTCAGTGCGTGTGCTCTTTTCGTTAGCCAGTTGTGCGCCTGTGATATCCTTTTCATGATCGCATCCACATCTGCGCGCCGTTTATACAACGCGAAAAGGCTCCTTGATACGTCCTTACGATACCGTACGGCACGGCCAAATTTTTACTACGAATTTCCTAAATCGAAGCTCGGGTTCCTGAGGAAAAGATGAGGGGAAAAGCGATTATGCAGTGCATAGTGGTGCAGCTCCGACTAAACTCAATTGTTCAGAAAGAGGACCATTTGTATTCCACCATTTCTATGGCCCTTTTTGAAAAAAAAAATAGCTTCATGTTGAGACACTGTCCTTTGCACAAAGTGAGGGACACTGATTTCACCCTGAGGCTCTGACATACTGAGTGCTGGAAGTACAGCAGCCCCACTTTGCAAGATAAGATGAATGGTGTGGTGATGACACACCTCATTGACACCGCCATCGACCGTTGAATGATGGAAGATCAAACCTGATGGATGTGACTGGCGTGATGTCGGTGAAGTGTTTCAGCGTTCAAGAGCATGACTCGACCTCGTTTGAGCTGAATACGCCTGCAAGGATGGTATTGCACTCGATCAAGGCCCTGACGCTTGCCGCAACCATCTCTCTGAATCTAATGGTTGCACGTTGCGTCACGCGTCCATCTCATAAAATGTCAAATGGTGATGCGGCCAACTCCCTCACTCCCTCGCTTCCCCGCACATTCCGCAGCTAATTCGTCCCTCAGAAGCTGATGAACCGACACAATCGGAGTTGCGACAGATGACGACGCACTCGGCATCATGAAAGTCTAATTGTGCCCACACATGACCGTGCTTAGCTTGTCGAACAGTGGGGTCTAACACTTGGGGACAGGTTCTGAACTCGGGGCTTTCGCCATGCAGCTCGGCTCAGAGCGTCACAGTTCAGGGTTTCCTCGCTTTATAAACCCTCGACTGTGCGCTGAATGAGATTCCTAAGTGCGAAGAAAAAGATCGCTCACCAGTCATGCTCTCCCAGCTCCTCGCCTGGACTCTCGGGGCTCTGTCCGTCACGAACGCAGCTCCCTCGTTCTCATTCCAGCAGCAAGCGCTCGTGTCCTGCAGCGTCGATGTGCACGCAACCTCGTCGGCCCAGGCAAGTTCATTTATCTATTCACGGGACGAAGCAGAAGGAGATCGAGGCTGACGGATAGAGTCGGGCAGAATATCCCTGGATCGGGGATCTACGAGATCTACAGCAAGGGCCTTGAAGGGGCTGCTGCCCGCTCCTACATCCCTGGCCAGCCACTGTATGTCAGCCGATCGACGGAAGACGCCAGGTCCTACAAGCTGGTACGTACAAGGTGCCATCTGCGCGCCTAGCCTGACCTAACGTGCACCTGAAGTTTGAGCTCACCGCCAAGGACAACAACATGATCTCGCTGAAACACGTCGGGCTCGAATCTCCCGTCACCGTGGATAACAACGTGCGATCTCTGAGTCCCCCTCCCCCTTCTACCGAGCGGTCCGCCTGAATGCTGGATTGTATAGAATTGGTTATCGGCATCGGGCTCCGATGAAGACTACGAAAACTTCAAGCTGGAAGCCGCGGCCGGTAACCCGGGCTACTTTGTCGTGAGTTTCTGGCCTGGGCTCCCATGCCACTCGCTCCTGACCCGCATCCAAGATCCACAGCGCCGTCTCGAGGAACCGCGTCTGGACACTCGACTCGGGCGACAGCACCGTCAGCCAAAATGTGTGATCTCCGCTGTGCGCGTGCTGGTCTCGTTCATGACACGCCCCAGATCATGATGTCCGAGCGGGTGTCCGGCGCCGAGGGCCAGCTTTTCCGTTTCAAGTCTTCCGAGGCCCCGGCGCAAGCGGCGCTCACGCCGCACCGCAGCAGCGGCGGATTCCACCGCCCCGCGGCGAACTGCACCGTCAAGGCCGGCGAGTACCGCATCCTCGACTACATGTCGAACGCGCCGGTCCGCGGCAACGCGGTCAGCCAGTCGATATTCACGTCGCGCGAGATCGAGGCCTACCCGGGCGACACCGCTCTGGTGCGTGCATTTCTCCCCCGCCTCGACGATCGCTCACCCGGCGCAGTGGCGGATCACGCGCGTGGGCAGGCACGGCGGGACTTACACCATCAAGAGCATCGCGCACGACGCGTTCCTGGGGGTCACCAAGTCGAAGGTACGCGCGCGCGGCGCAGCCCCGCACCGCCGGTCCGCTGACCCGCCCGCCCGCAGAACCTCGCGCCGATGACCGGCTCCACCCCCACCCTGTTCGTGTTCAAGCCGCGCGAGACGGACTGCGAGGACCAGGTGGTGATCCACTTGGCTGACGGCAGCGGCGTCTGGGGCCTCGATCTCGCGAATGGGACCAGGACTACCCCGGTGCGTGGCGCGGAGTCTTGTGCTTTCCTTCATTCCACTTGACGGCTTTCTAGGTCGAGGTGCAGTCCGTGCACGGCCTCGTCACGGACTCGCAGAGTTTCGTTCTGGAGCGTGACTGAAGTAGTTCTCAAACGCGTTTGTTTTGGAAATACCAGATATCAAATGAAAATGTCACTTGTCCATAATGATTAACCTCGCTATCGTAGCTTCCCTCCAGGAGCAGGTCCGCAGGGCTTGTCTACCCCACATCAGAATAAATGGCATTTTAGCAAGTGACCCTTGAGCCAGTTCGCTGCTACTGGTTCAGTCAGACTCATTCTCACAATAAGCCGCAGATCCATATCAAGTCCCTGCATTGAGCAGCTCATATGCCCCATTTTTGACAGTGTGATACTTAGTGTGATGCCACTGGTCCAACACTTGAATAGGCTCTTGATTGTTGTCTGGGCAGACCTAGATCCCGAAAAGGAAATGGGCAACCGGGTAGTTTCGGAACCGATTTGATGCGATAGTATTACAGTTCGTAATTCTGCTTAGATAGTGAACACAGCCTTGCCTCTGAAACGCACCAGACATCAGTGATTGATCTTCTCTGATCCCCGCGATCCGAAGAGGTAACGGAAGCTTCATCCATTCATCGCCGTCCCACACACACACGAATCGCTACCAGGCGTGATGAGCGGGCGGGACTCAGCAGTCCCAGATGGATATAAGCTGTCGAAGAAGGGTACCGTTGTCAAAAGCAGCTGGGGAGGTCCAAGACAAGGTTCTAGTAGGAAACCGGCCTCGCGTTCCATCGCAGTAGCAACTAAGAAGGCGACGCTGCGCCATTCGAATCCTCCTCGCGCACCACTCGCTTCGACAAGCCCCGCCACCGATTTACCTCGAAATTCAACCGTCGCGTCACTGTTCCATTCTCGAGCGGCATATCGAGCGCAAAGCAGCGTAACAGCCGAGGTAAATACTGGCGCGGCATCGTCGATTGCACCAGGTGAGTTGTCTGATGTTCTATTCTTATTTTTCGACTCGAACCTCCAGGTCGTGCCCTGCGGGATCCTTCCCGTATTGAACCCGGGAGCGCGGCTCAGATTTCCCAACGGCTGGACTACATAAGGACCCACGATGAGAACTCCGGCATTGCAATGGGCACTGCAACTATCGACGACTCACTATTTGAGGGCGATGAGGCCAATTCTGGAGACGCGGGACTCGCACCGGCATCGAGCGATGAGGAGGAGGATCCAGAACTCCAACCTCAATCTGCGCTCTCTCAGTATCTTTATTCTGCCAAGGAACGTATCCGGAAAGAAGAAAAGCAATCCGGGATGCCTGCTTGTTATCACCGAGGGGATTTCTTTGATCGCCCCCGCCATCCTGTATTCGCACTTCAGCGTGCCTCCTCCCATGAATTCACGCCCACACCGATGTATTCTTGTGATATCTTTGTATGGCTCCCTCATCTTTTACCTCGCCAACCTGTCGCCTTCAAATGTGCTTGTGGTTCGTATCTCACGAGGAAAGGTTGGGTTTTCTCTCTAGTAATCTCGATACATTACTCAGATTTTCCAGGATGGAATGATAATCCAGTCGCTCGCAGAGTGCGGCGTCTTCCTGAAGACTACTTCTTGATCACCAATCGCTTTATTTGTGACGCAAGTCGCCACAATAATACTGGGTGCGGAAATAACTACCAGGGCACCGACCCAATAATTCTTGCGCAACTTCCGCGATTCCTTCAAGAGGCGTACCCTGGTGAGTCGAAAATTCCTTTGGTATTTCAGAGTACTCGAGAAAGATTGATTGGTGAATGTCTTCCAGCGTATCATTCTCAACGGGCCGCTATCGACAAGATTATGATGTGGATGTTCAACTCTTGCATCGTTAAACGGCTTGGCCCATCCCCATTCTCCGACCTTGCATCTGAAATACAGCATCGTCTCCATGCACGGAATGAGTTGATGTACTACTCTGCTGCCGAACATTACGAGTTCTACGGCACCGAGCAGATTCCTCAATTTTCGAAATTCTCAGATCCGCTTGGATATGCAGGTTCACCGCCGTCTGTGGGCTATCTGCGGTCAATGTACACTAGTTACATCACTGCGCATCGTACTTACATGGATCGCGCGCAAGCCGCGTTGCCTCTTGATATCGCAAAGGCTGATCACACTTTTGATGTCAGTGTTGCTTGTGGTCGCTTACATTCATTATTCTCATCAAAATTACAGGTCCTCAAGTACATGGGAGGGATCAAAGGCGAAACGGTTTGGAAAGCGATGTACAGTATCGGAAATCAGTGGGAGGAAGTTAGAGCGCACAGCATGACACTAACCAAGTCACTCTCCTTCGTTCGAGAAATGATGGTGTCAATCCAAGAGAGTCTTCGGAGAATTGGGCATCCACCAACCCAGATTCTGTACACAGATTCGCCTCAATGTTCGTAATTGACGACCATTTCCTAGGCAGATTTCTTATTTGGCTTGCAGCTGAACAGTCGTTTCATGAAGTCGTCACACCGTCACTTGCTGTCGGTGTTGAACATGTGACTGACTGGACTGATTTGCCTGAGCTAGGTTTCGTTCTTGATGAGCCGGCGAACAGTGTATATGCAAATGATGCCAGTCATATTGACGACATTGTCTCGGACGTGGTGATGGAAGCGGTTGCGTCTGGCATGACCGCTTGTTTTGTTGTTGGAATTGCAGTAAAAATGTCGCCGGGAACTCCTCCTCAAGTCGAGATTATACAGCTTCGAACACAGACATCAATTTACGTACTCCAGGTATGAGCCAAATCGAACCTCTCTGCCGCGGCAGTATCTCTGACGGCACTTTTCAACACTAGATCTCAGCGTTTAAAACACGTCCCCACTTGCTTCCTGCTCTCTGATCTCTCTTGACATCGAATTCCATTATCAAAATGGGCTTTCAAGTTAGGAACACAATCTCTATTCTCTCAGCCCTGTTGGCTATCTCAGATCCCTTGCACTCTTCGAGAGTCATTGATCTTTTAGAGTACGCAAAGCTTACCGGTTTTGTCGAGGATCCAAAAACCTCACTCCACGCACTCATTGGTCATGTCCTCCGCCGTTCTTATGCTCCACGGCCAGGAATTTCAGAACGTTGGGCGTTGCCTTGTGCTAAGCAGGACATCACTGCTCTCTACCTCGAGACAAGTAGTGTCTGGCAGCTCTGGAATGCGATATCGGTTCGGGAGCCAGTCGGCTTACCTCTCGAATCGAACCAGTATACACCCGGAATGCCAATAACTCTTGTTCAAAGCTTGAAGCCTGTGGCACGGGGTTTTATTACAAGTCATACAGAACCTGTGCTGGTCGTTCCTCTCGCCAACAGTGGAGAGACGTTCCGCATCAAGATCACGGCTCGACATTGTTTGATCACAATTACGGAGGTGCTGGTTCCACAGGCGATGCACAAGTTGCATCGGTGTACTATTGGAGAGGTACAATCAACCGGTGGTCTAGCCGTTGTTTCACGCACCCAGCTTCGATCCCGGTCTTTGACTCCTGCTCTCCCTGCATCACGAACAGTCTTCGGCTACTCTCAACCCGCACCTCCAAGTTCTGCCCTGGAGGGGGATCACACGCAATTTCAAATCTCGTACCAACCAAATTCTGAAATTCGATTTGAATTCTGGTCTCCCACTTCAGAAGATGAATTCATGTCAGAGGAAAGCGATGAAGAGATCGAAGATAATGATGAACATCTCCCGGTGTCCAGTGTATGTGACGCTCCTTCTTACCTATTCGATCTGAACAAGTTCCCCGTTTTCAGGGGCATGGGCATAACTCAACCGAGACCAGTATTGCCGAAGCGCAGAAGTACTGGAGTCGGGTACTTGACGACGCGTTCCATTTTATGGACCGTCTCATAAGGCTGCTGTCAAAGAAACACTCTGCCTTCAAGCATTTTTGCTGGGATTTTAGCGCAGCTATCTTTATCCGGGACCACGAAGATCTCAAGAAAGTCCGTGCCGCATTCGAAGCACGAGGCATCAGCTGGGACTATGCTCTACGTGCCATGGCTGATGCGCTCAATCGACGAATCCGGAGATTCATTCCAGATCGAATCACACTCTATAAACGACTCTCTATCCTATTCCAAAGCTACCAGGACATCGTATGTTCCACACAGAAGCCTGGCATCCATGCTCGATTTTTTTCGAGTGAAGCTCGCGAAATGGCTGACCGTCTTCTGGACACTGCAAAGCGGGGTTTTCTGTCAGATCCCCCGAATATTCCTCTCTACTATGTCATGGGAACGGATCGTGACGGACTAACTGTGTACCGGTGAAATGCTGAGGGCGTGCTCACAAGTGAATCTACTATGAAAGTAAACCCAAATATAAACACGTTCACACTCCTCGTAATCAGCTTCTCAGTGTGTGAAAGATGCGAGGGCTTCGGGGTGGACAGAGCACCAGTATCACAACTCTCAATAGACGCAGATCCAATAGTCGCGGAGACGGAGTCGACGACAAGAATATATATATATAGCAAACAATGGTGTCTCAACCAATATCTTCTATACGATCACAACTAACACTAATCCAATCCACAACAACAATATAACAAGTCAGAGCTTAATACGAAGTATTAAGATCCCTTGTAGCGACAGCGTCCAGATGGTGACGCAAAGCCCAAATATCAAGTCGACGCACTGCCAACCGATACAACCAATATACTGAGTCGACGCACTGTCAACTAGTAAACCAAAATGTCAAGTCGACGCACTGCCAACTGACAAAACCAAAAGTACTGAGTCGACGCACTGCCAACTAGTAAACCAAAATGCCGCGTCGACGCACTGCCAACTAACAGCCAATATCCAATGTCCAAAACCCGAGCACAACTTGTCGACGCACTGCCAAGCAAGAAGTGTGGAACCAAAGTTCTCAAGTCGACGCACTGCCAACTGACCAAAACAACCCGAGCACAACTAGTCGACGCACTGCCAAGCTAGAGGTGTGGAACGATCTCAACAAAGCCCGAAGGCGACGACACTAAGTGCCGCGACTAAACCAGATGCGGCGAATCCGACTTTCTGATGTCTCAACTCAAACTCAAATCACAGTAGCTACAAGTGCTCAGGGAGCAACTCGTCGCGACCGGGCAGGGATGGCAGAACTTCTTAGGGTGGAATCACGCGACACGCAAATTGTACAAAACAATCTGAAATGGTAGTGATTCACAGTCCGGGAAAAGCTTCCTAATACAAAGAGACGACGTGCTACTTATACTGTCTACGACGCTGCTTAGTAAAGTCCTGTACAACTGCATAGTAGCTACGCTATCTAAGATCGGTTGCCTTTTAGGGTAATTGAAAAGTTCGAACGATCGGACAGGTCCTGAGTGATCAGGACCCCGCTCCATCGTCCATATGATACTTTTGATGTGGGCCAACCCACCGCGTCATACTTTTGGAATACGACGTGCTGGATTGGCCAACGGGCATGTCTTGGCATGTGAGACCAACGTGGGCGCCCCAAGAAGCCGTATGGCCCTAGGCACGCCAGTCGTCCCCCACATGGTTCGGTTCACGGATCTTACCGTGTCGGTTTCTAGTGTGTTTGGGTATGGGCGCGACTTCGCCGTGACACTTGGAAGCGTCACCGCGACGCGTCCACAATGTCCCGTGATCGAATGGATCCTGACATGTGACAAGTCGTCGTCGTGGCATGATCTGAGGAAACGTCCAACTCAAAACCGGGAGTTGCCGCGACAAGATGGTTTAAGTCTTGTAACGCCAAGTCCTGTCCAATAGTAGTTCTATTATTGAGAACGTCGCGCATTGCTCAGCCCTTCAGCCCAAGTTCCCATCTGCAGAGAATGACCCTTATTGAGAAGTCGACGCAACGACATATCCCTTTTTGGGGAATGGTCGCGGTCCAAGCGTTCGTCACTAATGGCCCTGAGCCTGGTGTAGACTCATAAGACCAGTTCCACAGTAGTGGTCTGACTGCCTTGCTATCGTCGACACTATCCACAGTCGTCGACTGGGCAGTAGACCCATAAGTCCTACTGAGCGCAACACTGTTAACCGCGACACGATACACCGAGTGGTTGAAGAGTAAACTCTGTAAAAAGCGCAAAAATACGCCCTTACAGAGTTGGTGCAGAGCGCGTCTGGTAGCCAGCCTATCATCTCCCAGGAACACTAATTTTGACCTCCTGGTCAATCCCGCGACAGTCTCACTGCGTCAGGTCTAAGTCCAACAGTCGACGTCTCGCTCATTTATTATTAAAGCCGCGGAGACATAGAGTTATGTTCCCACGTCTTATTCATTTGGTTGTTCGGTTCCTTCCGTGATCTGCCGCGATCAAACTTCTTCCGGCATGTTCACCATATAAATGCCCTCAATTTTCAGGGTCGAGAGTCTCCCTAGTACGAGACACTCTTGCCTTTTGACCACCATGTCCGCGCCCGACCAGAGCCCCCGCCCCCAAGACAACAACCGTGAGTGACGCCCAGGACGATTACCGCGACTTTTCAACCACGCTAACCGTCCATCAGCCGTCACCGAATCAGCTGTCCCGGGAGCAAACCTGCCTGCCATCGACTGGCGGCAGTTCATGCCGTCCGTCAAGGTCTCTCCCATGGCTTGTCGACTCAACTCACCACCTGCCTAGCCCCGAGGCTTACAACCAGATGTTGCGGCAGATGGCCGTCGACGTCCGCCAGATCCAACAGGTGAGCTCCGTTCTAAGCCCGCTGGAGCGAATAGGCACGGCGATCAATGATTGCCGCGTCTGTTCGCTTTGGCCTTCCATTCTTTTCACTAACGTAAGGGCTAGCCGGCGTCTACGCCCTTGACCACCAACGCTCCAGTCGAGGAGTCGTCGCCGCCCAAGAAACGCAAACGAGTCGTCGAACCTGTACGTGTAATCTGTTTCATTCGTTTACTATGTTCTGATCGACCCCCAGGCGGCTCCAACCGAACAAGTCGCCGCCCCTTCGTCGTCCCGGCCTGCCAAGCAGAAGGGGAAGGATGACGGCTCCAAGCCGCAGGCCCCTGCCGCCGTCGCGGGCAGCAAGGTCGCCGTCGCCAAGAAGTCGAGCGAGAAGTCGCAGGGGAAGCGACCCAAGGCGACTCCTGCGAAGGAGCCCAAGGCGTCGTCCCACGCGCCTACTCGTAAGTGGCTCTTTCCTTTCATTCACCAGAGTCGCGGGTACTGACTTGTCGTAGCCGCTACCTCGGCCCCTATTCCACAGGAGTCACCTCCCAAGCGCGTTCACAAGAAGACGCACGTAGGTGTGTAATCCTATGTCTTATTTCATTGATCTTTAGACTAACCACCTGGTCCCTCCCAGCCCGGATCCAAGCACAGCCTGTGCAGCCCGAGTCCCTCAGCGATGAGGAAGCCGCCGCCGTCGCCGACACTGCGATGGATGTCGACGACGAAGGGGTCCAGGAGGGAGACGCGTCCTCGGCCGACGAGCTGGCCCTTCAGGTAAGTGACCCAGTTCGTCGATCGCGATTCTTCGTCTCATGGTTGGTTTATTTTTGACAGGGGCCCAAGTCCAAGGGGAAAGCGCGATCGAATCTGAGTACGTTTTCCTCTTGTCCCCCTCTGTCGTTTACTCATTCTTTCGTAGCCCCGTCCGTCATCGTCATGGACGACACCTCCGAGAGCGGAGAGGAGACCGGCGATTTCGTCGTGGCCAAGAAGCAGGTCAACGAGACCCGCGTCAAGCCCAAGGCGAGCCGACTCCTTTTTCCCAGACCACGCCCCTTAATCCAGCTTTTTAGCCAATCAAGAAGGTCGCGGACGGATCGTCCATGTCGACCAAGTCCGTGCCTCCCCGTCCGGTGCCGAAGGTGGAGGCCAGTCGCAAGGCGAGCGCCCCGCGAGCGACGACTACCCCGACCCCAGTGGCTAAGGTGAGACACAGACCTTGGTTCCCAGACGTCGACTAACTCGTTTTTCTTTCTTTTCTAGGTTGCCCAGGCGGCCCCCGCCGCTACCAAGACTCCACGCAGTGAGTTGGGCAGGGTGGCCGCGACCCTTGGTCGCGAGCGGAGTGTTGCGGCGGCCAAGGCCGAGCTCAAGGCTCAGAAGGCAGAAAAGTCCGTTGCGGCGGCCAAGAAGAAATCTGACTCGGTGAGTCGCGACTTTTTCTTGTCGTCGACTTTTTACTGACTTGACTGTTTCTAGACTCCTGCGAAGGCGTCGGCCCCCACGCCCCGAGCTCCGTTCATTCCCGCCGCCTACGACACCGAGGCGCTCCTTTCGGTGGCACGCCAAGGGTTCGCGGGGAAGTTGGAAAGGGCCGGCGTAGAGGTGCCCACTGACTTCGTGCGTTCTTTTATCTTTTTCTCTCATGCCTCGTCGACTGACTCCCTTTTTCATAGGAGGTCGCGCCAAGGCCCTGCGCGATGTGCGTGACGCGGCAGCGCGTCTGCTTCAAGAGCGTCGACGGGCGCCACGGCAATCGGTGCGCCCCGTGCGTGCTCTATAAACAGACTTGCACCAACGGCTACAAGCCCGCGGAGCAGCTGTACATGGGACAACGCTTCGGGTATATCGCGCAGATGAGCGCGGATGGTACGAGTCCACCCTTTTTATTCATTTCTATTTTGATCGTTTCTGACGACGTTTTCAGATCTCAACAAGTCCGCCAACCGTCTCGCCGACACCTTGGACGCGTACGGCGGGCTTCTTCGCACGGCCAACGAGATCCGCGTCCTGGCCATTGGCCAGTTCCGTGATTTCGTTGGTCAGCTGAAGGAGCACTTCGACGACGGCTCGGACGAACGCATCAAGGCGATGTTCGTCCACACCGCGACCGAGATCGACGCCGCCGAGATGGCCGACATCCGCAAGGGTGTTCGGATGATCTTGGCCCACGGGGACTTGTTGGATGGCGAGGCGAACGAGCGGTTCGCGGCACCCCCTGCCTTCTTCGATCCGTTTTTCTATCGCGAGATGGAAAAGATGGAGAAGCAATTCCAGAGGGAGATCGAGAAGGCCCAGGAATTCGACAAGTCGGACCCCGCGACCATCCAGGATCAAGCCTTCCAGCCCCTCGAGGACCACGAGATCGACGTCGCGCACTTGGCGAGTAGTCGTACTCGTGCGCCCTCCTCGTCGCCCCAGCCTTCGCCATCGCCGCCTCCTGTTGCGTCGTCGTCCCAAGCCGTTTTGCAGGTCTTGGATTTTTCCGACAACTACAGCGAGACCTCGGCCGAGTCCACCAAGGCCGATTCGGGTGAAGACGCGGAGGGTGAAGAAGACGGGTCTGCCGGCGACGAGAACGCCGACGACGGGAAAGTCGACGACGAGAACGTCGAC